CAAACCAAAGCCCTTATTATTAAATCCACTCAGTTGATCAAAATAACCTGTCGAGATATACGCTAAACTACCAGATAAATTTCGTCATGAACGTTGTTTGCAGGATTCGCAGAACTGTGCATACCGGTCAGTTGCAGCACATGCTCGTCCCGCCCTGGTGCCACCAATTTCTGGGACAACACTCGAGTCGGGTATCACTAGCCAATAAAGATTAACAAGTCAGTTATAGACATCTAAGTTTCCCTCGTCTTTTTCAGTAATGTCCTTCTGCCTATATCATTAGCCGCCTTGAGGTGTCGTTCAAGTCAAGTCAAGTCAAGTTTATCATGGGAACTCCTTTGAACTCCCTATTGGTACACATTAGTTAAGAAATGTATTGGCACAGCCAAAAATTTGAAAGAAGTCACTTACATACTCGCTTGTTCTAAGTAACTCACTCACATGTGGTGATGTCAATTAACACGATCCAGCAGATTTAACTGAGTATAACAAGCACCAGTGACAAAAACAACCAAGGCATGGCTCAGAATTGAAAATAGAATGTCATTTGCCATTTTTTAGGAGCAAAAAACTGTCGCTCGTCGGAGAAACTATGTTAACGATAGCACCGGCATGCTGCTATGAATGTTGGCGGCAGCCAGGGGCTCCATGACGAGAAATATATTTTTTCCGAATAACAACACGAGGAAGAGACCTCAGAGTCATGAGAACATTTCCAAGAAGCGGAGATGCGACAATGATACGCCCTTGCTGTAAAAAGAACAGAGGAACTCGCCACCTACTCAACAGCCGGTTGTTAGGTTTATACGTAGAAAAACGTGACAGAGCCGTGTAGCCTAGAATTATAGGTGCGGTAAAGACGACTGCAGACGTGATCAGTGCATTTTGCATAGTGAAAAGTAGGAAGCGCGTAAATGGGATATGCACGGTGAAAATCATTTGATTAAATAGTAATACTACTTCAAATAGTTATTAGGATATATTTATAGCATTTAAATGACTGATTTCGGAGAACTCAGTTGACATGGTGGCTCGTGAGGTGGTGCTGGTCAAGCTTCGTCTCACAGATGTCCACGGTTTTGGACATGATAATGTCAGTAGGAAGGGCATTCCATGCCCGAATTACTTTATTAAAGAAAAATAATTTTCTTCGGCCAAATCTTGCCCCTATCACACGTAATATGAGAGGGCGGCCTCACAGCCTAGTGGTAGTGACATGCTCAAAGAAATAGTTTGCTTCGAGGCAACAATCCTGACCGCGCAGCATGCGAAACGCCTGTATTAAGTCACCGCGTAGCTGCTTGTTATCCAGAGGAAACAAGCCAAGATTTAACAAAAGCGTCTCATACGGGAAGTTCCGTGGGCCTCGCACTAATTTTTTTGCGTATCTTTGTACCCTTTCAAGGATATTTTGGTCTCTTTCTGTCCAAGGTCTCGAGGCTTGGATGGCAAATTCCAGAGGGGGTCACACGAGCGTGTCAAAGACTTTGTAAAAGACAACCTCATCAAACTTAGCATTGGCACGCTTGATTAGATAGAAGCTGGACATTTTTGATATGGCCACCTTCAGGCAGTGGAGTGATGGTTTTAGTGAAGGCGTGATCCACGCCCCCAGATCCTACTGAGACTCTACCTCTGGCAACGGCGTTTGATTTAGACAATACATGTTCCAGGAAGCAGTGCTGGTTCTTCCGGAGCGCATTAAGTTGCATTTGGTCACATTGAATGGCATGACCCTTTGGTTTGACAGTTGCTCCAGTCGACGCAAATTTGCCTGGAGATTATATTCCTCGTATTCTTTGCGAGAGAACTTCTAAAGTTTTAAGTCATTAGCAAACATTACCATTCTGCAGTCTAATTCGCTTATGCAGTCATCAGTATATATAAAGAATAGCATAGGGCCAAGAACGGAACCCTGGGAAACCCCGCTTTCGACCGCTACCTCAGCCGACCACTGTTCACAAAGCCATACGGTCTGGGTGCGACCAGACTGGAAGTTTAAGGTCCACTGCAAAAGGTTGCCCCCTTACCCTATACGGCTGAGCTTCTATAAGAGAAGTTGATGAAGCATAGTGTCAAGTGCCCTCTTGAAGTCTACGAATACGCAATGCACCGAAATCTCTTCATCGAGCGCTCGGATCCATTTTTCTAGACAATGGAGCATATTGGTCAAGAAGGACCTTCCTCTGCGGAATCTGTGCTGCTTGTGAGAAAGAAGTTGATGTTGCTCCAAATTATGCATTCTCTCGCGTTTGACTATGCGTTCCGTGATTTTGCAGGATATTGAGTTGAAGCTGACCGGTCTGTAGTTATTTGCGGACGCCCTACTTCCACTTATCTGAATGGGTGAGATGCACGCTGCCTTCTAATCGGATGGTACTTGGCTTGTATTAAGAGAAGCTCAAGAGTACGTACAGGGGTGCTGCGAACTCTGCGGCTGGTTGTTTCAACAGCTTTGCAGGTATTTTATTCGGACCTGGCGACTTCGTATCTTTGAGCTACGTTAGTTCTCGCAGAACAGCAGCTTCTGAGTCGATGGTCGGGATTTCACCCACACTGAAGTTTACAGCGGTTAACTCGCCCTCACACGCAAAGGCCAACTGAAAGTTACAGGATAGATGTTCTGCATTTTCGTTATTCTCGCAAATTTCTACACCATCTTCTGTTTCTCACGGACGAATGGGGTCCGTATTTCAAGTGCATTGTCTAACTTAGCTGTAAAAAAGCTTTGGATTTCCTACAGCATGTTTTTTAGCTTACTCTCGAAGCTTTGGCGGCTATTTTGCATTAGGTTCTTTATCCTATTTCTCTGCGCCTTTTACTTATTTTACGACTCGGGAGTCTTCCCTCTGAAGTAAGTGTGTTACACCCTTCCTTTGCGGTTTTCTTCTCTCTTAAGCGTGAGCGTTAGTCATCGGGGCGTATTTGTTACTTTCTTTACTTTCTTCGGTAGTCTGTGTAATACGGCTTTGAATGCCGACTAATCACCGAGAATGCACCGGTGAATATTTCATTCCAGTCTATCCTGCTGACTGTGGTTTTCATTTGTGTAAAGTCTCCACGTGAGATGCTGCGTATGTTTATCGCATTACTATCATGCACAGAGAAGAGTAAATTCTCCCACTGTATTCTAACGTGGTCACGTTTGCCGAGAGGAGGTAAACAATCAACAACGTGCACGCTATCAGGCGTTTTGGTCAGTAGTAGGTCTGAGCAATTAGCTTGTTGCTGTTAGCGTAGTCTGGTCGGATATAGGACGATTCGCGTTAGGAAGACTTCCTTTACTGTTCGTAGGAGTCATAGGTCAAAAGTTACTTCTGAGCCGGGTACAGAGCTCAGATTCCAGTCGATATGTGGAGCGCTCAAGTCTCCCATAATCATGACATCTGGTCTCTTAGCAATTGCTCTGACTTTCTTCATCAGACTAGTGTCTGACTGTTGGTTCCTCGACGGTGGACGGTAGACCATCAGGATATCAAGAGCTTGTGACCCTGGCGTACTAACGGTGAGCCATATCGCCTCTGTATTGCCCGCAAGGTTTTCGGACTTGTCTGACACAAGCAGGCCTTGCCTATCATAGATGAGCACACCTCCAACTTGATATCCGATTCTATCTTTTCGGAACAATTGAAAACTGGTGAGAGCAATTTCCTGATCACCTACCTTCGTGGACCACCATGTTTCTGTTATACAGACAACATCTGGTTCAAATTGACACATAATAATCATAAGCTCGTCTAATTTAGAGAGCAGGCTTTGTGCATTGTTTTACATGCGCTCCAGTATCGTTGTTCAGTGTAATCTGGTTGTGTCAGACAAGTCCTGGCCGTCGTTCGGAGTATTGCGAATTGGGTCGACGTTTTCTTTTAAATTATCCTCCCGTTGAAGATTGTCAACCCTGCCTCGCCATTCATTATCCTCGACTTTAATTTCGCTTCTAGTTTCCACCGTTTCAGCTTCGAATCAGCCGGGTGGGACGAATGAGTCTTGTAACTGATCGTTGTACGCCCATTTGCCACTATATAACCTTTATATCCAACATATCATCCAATATTTTCAGTTGATCCAATTGTGAAAAACTCGCGGCCGCAGTGGAAGTCGAACTTGCACAGCATAACAAGATTTACACATCTATTGCACTACAACTTAGGTATTAGGCTCACAGTGAGCTGTGAATTCAATCACAGATCGTATCTCAATGGCAGAGCGTTGGCAGCGTGAAAGCTTGCGCTGCTGTGTGGGTCCAACTGACACCAAGGTCGCCTATTTTACACAATAACATCAACTTAAATTATTGAAATCGGCAAAAACTATAATAATTATAATTATATATATATATGGAGTGGATCCGACCAGGA